TTCTCATAATTGAAGTTTAAAGATACAACGTCCGCAATGCATTAGTTTCAATTTTATTATGAGTCGACTAGAAACACGTAAAATTTGAAATTACGGGAAGCACAGACGTTGAAATTCCAAGCACAATGGTCCTCGTACTAGAAATCAGAATGGTGCAAAGAGAAGGTATGGTTGAGATGAATACACAAAGACTGGGGAACGTTTTTTGTTAGTTTTAAGTGATAATATTATTATCTAACATAACCTTAATAATGAACTCTTGTCTTTGTAGTAGTTCAGATCAGAAAAGATAAGGGTTTATGTTAGCTTTGATCGAAACTACATGATACGAATGAGCCAGTTCAGAACTTACGCATGCGGAACACAATAATTCCCCTCTTCCGCCTCGGGATAAACAACGTCGATTTAACATGACAAAAGCGATGGAAAAGGGATATAATGTAAAAGGGTTAACTACATTGACAGTTATCCATTTATGATTTAGAAAGCAAGTTTTCTCAGTTCATGGCGTATATCACGAGTCTGGCGTTTGTAAATGTAGTAAACCCTTTGTAAGAGACTGTCACGGTAAATCGGCGTTGTTTACCCCGAAACGGGAGTAGGGAATTATCGTTTTGCGCAGGCGTACGTATAGTTCCGGACTCGCTTTTTAGACGGACTTCAATTAGAGTATACATAAGTAACGAAGGAACAATAGAAACAATTCTCACATGAAACTGAAAGTGAGCAGCAGCACCAGGCGGGAAATATAGTATCGCTTCTCTTCAAATATTTGCCAAAAATGTGTTTGAAATGAACCACCCTTGTCATGGAAATTAAACGATAGTAAAATAGTGAGAACAAAATCGTCAAGGCTTCAACTTTGATTCCATGTCCCAACGCGATGAATTTTGATATTGAAGAAGTCGCCTCTTTAAGCTTTCAAAACCAACACTCCAGAAAACATGTTTCTATTTAGGAGTTAACTTCACACATTTCTTGCAGTTAGCGTAGAATTGGAATAAAACGATGAAATTGATTATTTCATATAATTACATCAACTGCCAGGACCAATAAGGCAATTTTAATTTCTTTCAATTATTTCTTTTTAACAAATGTTACATTGACCTTCATTTTGCAGTATTTCTTATTTCAAATAGATGCTTGGGTTCGATAAAATATTTTGTTACGTTAGTTAATTGTAGGCTACATCTCGACAAGTTGAAGGTTCAAGAATTCTAAAGTAGGGCATTTCATTTCATTAGTTTTAACTAGATGAAGCGGTTATGTTATTCAATTGTATTGCTCAACATATTGCAAGAACCAGATTTCGATTTCCTCAAGAATTTCACAGTCTAGAGTAACCAACTTCGTGTTGCTGAATATGAATGAGATTTTCCAATCTTATTAGCCAATTCCATTTGGTAAGATAACTCGGTTAATATGTTAAAATAATCTGATATTGGCGGTATGTTTTGAATGTGAAAATTAAAGGGATTTATCCTCTAAATATTTGTCAACAATTAAATGTCAACAATAAACAAAACTAGATATACTCTATCCATAAAATAATTCAAAATAAATTAATACAACTGTCCACTAGGTTTTATGTGTATCGAGAACACTAGTATATACTCCATTCCGATCATAGTCCTTTTTTTGATTCCTGTGATATCAGAAAATTTGATAGGTTAACAGCATCTTTTGAGTATTAGCATGCGCCTGTTTACAGCGACTACTAACCTTGCATGGCCCATATGCAGTTGACCTAAACTTCAAGCTTGGCAAGAAATAGTATGTGTACTGTACACGGAACATGTTCTAAGATATCACCTCACAAAGTAACAGTTCATTCCCATTTTGTATTAAGACGACAATTTAGAGGACTTCATCGCAGGCACACTTTTTTCGTGCGGCTTCATCTATTTAGATTTCTTTGTTTTTTCTCTATAATTAAACAATTTCAATATGTATTCTATAGAGACGTTTTTAAAACTCTTTGAAATGACTGAAAAAAAATTTAAAATCTAATTTCTCTAATATGATGAGGTTAAAAGTAAAATGTAAAACTCAGAAGAATTGCGAGAATAAAGCCGCCAGTAATTAATCGTATGAGTTCATGTTCGACGACTTATAAATGTTGTGAATTAGAACGATTCGCCTACTCGATATAATAAACTAGTACAGACAATAGTGAGAAGCCTGGTAGCTTGTTAACCAGTTATTAAAGGACAACCAAACTGTATTTTATAATCGGAGGGTGTTTAATATTTCGTTCTTGCTGCCCAAACACAATTTGTTTTACCATTTTCTATTAACCTAAAATTACCTTCAATAATAAACAAAATAAGGCAGTGACGCAATCGTCTCGTCTGTCTAATTAGCTAATTTTGATGGCGGATAATTAGACAATTTCTTGTATGCAATTAATTTCCAATTGTTCATGTAAATATTGTGTTATTATCAGCAAATCGACAAATTATAAAATAAAACTGTTGTTCATGCTGATGGATGACTGAAGATGATGCTTATTCCCAGATGATGATGATGGCGATAACTGAATGAAAATGATGACTTGATGATAATGCTCACTGAATGATGACTAGATGAGGATGATGACTCGATGATAGTAATGGCTGGATGATCGTGATGACTGTATGGTAGTGTTGACAGAATGACGACAGTGATGACTAGAAGGTGGTGATTACGTGATGTTGATGGTGATGACTGGATGATGGTTATGACTGATTGATGCATGGTTGTTAGTAAGGATACTGGCAGACTATGGTGAAGCTGCAAGATGACTGGTGATCTCCATATCGATCTTTAGTAATCAGGATGCTGCAGTTTTGCGTCGGGTGATGTGTCTGACTTGATTGCAAAGCCGGATAATGGTACCGATTGGATGATGAAGACAGGCTATGGTGATTCTGGAAGATGACTAGCGATCATGCTCGACAATAGATTGCTTTAGTGTCACATTCCCTATTACGAAATGAAGACTTTATAGTTTCTATACATCATAAGAATCAAATTAGTTTTTCTGGAGTAGGAACATGAATGTAAAGTACAGATAGGTGAAGATGGTTAAAAGTATTTCGAGGACTTTTGAGAGTAATACTACGCCCAAATATAAACTTAGATACAAGGGTTTTGAAATACAAAATACGCCACTGGGTATATAAAACTAATGACATGAGTTATGTAAGCTATAGTCAACTCAATTCTATAAGCAGATGTAAGTTACATTGATTGACAGCATAGTTCCATAAAAACTACACTGGCTGTCAAATATTGAAGACCAATTGACAGGTATACCTGCCAGATGTTCTTAACGAGTAATGAACGCTATGGAAGTGTTAAAACGTTTAAAAGCGTGTAGGCTAATGGTTAGAAAAAGGCTAGGGTTGTATTCCAAGCCAGTGAACCACCGCCACTAATAAATGTGTTGTCTCCCTTTTTAGATCAAATAAATAACGATGGAATCTTAAAATTGTAATCCAAACAACCCTACCCAACTGAATGGTTTAGCCTCACATAGATTACTGTATCTCACCTTGAAAGTGAGGAAATGAGTGAGGAAGTGAGTTTCACGTCCTACTTCATGGGCACGGGCATCAGTCTGCAGTGAGGGGAATTTTGCCAGAACATTATCAATAATCTAGATTTTCGACTGTGAAGGGACCTTTGACGTTCTTTATATGTAGCACATGTGGTCTGGGTTTATGGCCCCATCCGAACGAATGGACACTTTTTCCTTTTCAGCCCCTTTGATCTGTATCACTGACAGGGGGAAACGCAGTTGAAAAATCCAAAAGGTATTATCTCGACCTAGGCCCGGATTGAATCCTGGACTTTCGGTAAGCGAGCAAGTGTTTAACTCACTGAGTCACCGAATGAGAGGAATGGGGCACACTGGTACTTTGAATATGTTACATTAAAATATCGCAATAACATGTATACTCAGCTATAACCATGACTCATCAAGGTAGTTGACAGGAATCCTATATAAAACCATTTGCACCAGGTGTTCAATGTATAGAATTAATAAAGCGAATTTAATAAATATAGCAACACACGTTCTTTCTCAGAATTAATATATTCTATTGCGATGGCATCAATTGAATTCGATCTCGATTTCAAGGTTAGGATGTATTGGTATTGGTTTTATGATCAAATATATCAAATGTCCTTTTCACCTCTTTACGTTTATCCATACTTTAGATTACAGGGCCGAAACTACATAAAGTCCAATGCCTCACGACGAATTCCACCCCGCACTTGCAAAAAGAATAAAATATATGTAAAGGAGAATATTTTCGAAAATTGTAATTCGTAATTTCATATGATGTATACCGAAAGGTATAAAAAAAATTATCGCCCTGTTTGCGGAAAAATATTTTTGCCTCATAAAAATGACCCTTGACCAATTCCAAAATACAAAAAAATAAGTGAGTAGTCAAATTTGAATCTGTCAGACATTAAAACGACACGTACAGTAACTGTTAAGTTTCTAAAGATATAAGGCAAGAATTATAGATTAAGATCTTTTAACAAATTTTCTTCTATTATGGAGCAGACATACTTTGTCTGTGAAAACCTAAAAACTGTTAAGTTTATTTTTTATATTTAATATTATTCGAACTGCTCAACTAAAAAAAACAACATTCGTTTGTTTCAGTGGAAACATTTAAGATCTAATAACAATGTGAAAGACGACGAGCGATCGATTTTAAATGTCGGACATGTGTTTCCGTGAAGAAGAAGTAGTAATACTGAAATAAGTTTTGAATATCGTGTATTAGTTGAGTAGATTGTTCAGACCTACAGTTGGTTACACGGTATCAATGAAGAAACTATGGACGAAGAAATGCAAGGAACAGGAAATGATTGTTCCTAAGTTGATTTCTATGATGCCTGACGATTCGATGGGGACGTCAAAATTATACCGGAAAACATCGGAAGAAAATGAAAATACAACAATGGGAGCATATTCAACAAATATTACTCTGCCGCGGGAAATGACTTTCAATGATGATAATTTGGTTTCAGTTATAGCATATTCTTGCCTTTTTGTGATCGCTGCAGCAGGGAATTTAACCGTCTTCATAACTTTGTTAAGAAATAGAGGATTTAAATCTCGAGTGAATAGTTTCATCATGCATTTATCTGTGGCAGACTTAATCGTCGCATTCATTATGTTACCGATGGAAACAGCCTGGCATATAACAGTGTCTTGGAAAGCTGGTGATTTTACGTGTAGATTAATGATGTTTTTCAGAGCATTTGGATTTTATTTATCTTCATTCATTCTTGTGACTATAAGTTTAGATAGGTATTTTTCTATAGTTCATCCGCTCAGCATTCACGACGCAGAAAAACGGGGTAAAATTATGCTCACTATTGCCTGGATATTGAGTGTGGTTGCCAGTCTTCCGCAAGTAAGTCAAACTTAATTTTCCTAATATTCCAGTCGCTTTTGTTCGCTCCAGTGGAGTGATTATCTTCAAAGATTCATTCATTGCTTTTGTGGCTGGCGAAAATTGGCATCAGATAAGAGTCGTAAGTTCAGCAGAGGAACACCATCGGCTTGTCACGTAAATACCCTATGGAAAGTAATGATCTCTGTTCAGGTTTGAAAGCATGTTCGGGCCATAGCGGGTTATCGGCCTGCCAATCATGTATTGAACTGTCAGAAACTTGGGTTACTTCGATAGCATGATACTTGTAAGGTGGCTAGTTTCACTGAGGAGTAGTGAAGGCTCAGTGTGATTGGCACTTAACATGTATGCCCGGGTTCGTTCTCAGTTCAGATCGAAATAGTACAATCACACTCCTAACTCTATCACTGTTGTACATCTATGATGATGCTAACGCTACAGTTTATGCACATTGAAGCTTTATCAAAAATGGCTGAAAGACTCGATATAATTTCATCTATTTCATATGATTAGTTTGTTATACTTCTTACTTCCTTTATCAGTAAAAAATCGACTTACTACAATAGGAAATAAAACCAATAAAACTAACGTTAGTCGTAGATACTAATTTATTTTCAAGATTGACAGGCGAAAGTTAATAATAATACAGAAGTCTAAAAGCTGTAAATTGAGTATTTTTATAATAGTGGGGTAATTATGTAGTGTGGCGTGGGAAGAATCGTGAAAATTAAAGTAGATTGCTTTCTGATTAACATCATCTTCCAATCAAATTCATGAACATCCCAAATCCTTAAAAGGTTCAGATTCTTCCTTAAAAATATTTTTCATAAGGGATCCGATAGCCTAAATGACAGAAGTACATAATACACCATTATTTTCATACGTTCTATTTGTGGCAGTCTCTATAAAGGATAATCTCATGTTCATTAAAAGAAAGTGGTGTAAGACGAAGCCTACACAAATATTAATGTCTCATGTTGATGAAAGCAATCACCTCGAACGTAATAGTCATGTTTCCACCCCCACACAACCACCATTACCGAGTCCCTGAGAATATTTGTGCAAAAATATGGTTTGAATGCGTGATATATGATAATCAATATAAAAAGGAGGCTGACATCGAATTAATTATAAAGGGACGCAAGTGAGTGCTTTCAGGGAAAAGTCATAACCTAGCCCACTATAAAATATAAGATGTGGTATTGTGGAGAACCTAAGATTTCATGCCCTAAATCGTAACTATATTTTAAACATATCCCTATAGTAGAACTACTTGCAATCACGATCGAACACTATTTTCGACGAGTAAGTCGATCAAACGTTTATTAGTCCTTTCAAACAATCAAGAAGCTCAGCGCACCGGTTCGCTCTTATTCCCCCCATTTTCATTTTCGCGTGAGATATTGCTGGAAATTGAAATCTTTTCACGAAAACCCATATTTGTTATAATGATGCTGAAATCAGAAATTTTTGTATGTTTAGTTTCAAACTTTTCCGACCAATGTAGACATCACAAGAAAACATGATGGTTTTATAGGGCCTTAGTTGAAAAAACGTAAAATTTTACTCATTTTTTCACCCTGAGATCATTAATTGAAATATTATTTTCAATCTTCACATTTTTGATGAAATACAATTTATTTCTGTTTTTTTTATATTGAAATTTCTGGACAATCAACTTTGAGGGTTTACAGTAGTAATGACCATTGATTATTCAACCTTGTCAAAGAATGTTAAAAATCTGACAGGATAAGATGTAGTACTACATTAGTCTGTCAGACCACTGTTTATCGTGTGATTGTAGAGATATAAACTGATTGAGAAATAACCTGCAGCATGTTTTCAGAAGCATTTTAACCTTGAGGTAATCTCAATAAGTTGGTATTTAGTGGTTGCAATATAATGATAATTGATAAAGCGATCATATTTCGTAAATATTTTATTTCAGAAATTGTTTAGTTAAGAATCATAAGCTATTATCATCTTACAGGTCAATTAGTTCAAAAGGATTTAGGTAAAAGGAGGGTTTGATTCTCACATGCACAGGTTAGGACAGCAAGAATAGACCATTTCTATACGCTCACAATTGCTCGCAAACACTCTACAAGGCACAATTATTGACTGATTTCGACGAAACTTGGTGTGGTTGTTTATAATAACCCAAGGATGAACCTTATCGGAAATCAAAAAATATTTTGTATGAGTTATTGCCCCTGTTCTTGAAAACACGTTCAATTTTTAACTCGTAAACACCCCAGAAGGCACAAATCTTGATTTAGATGAAACTTGGTGTGAGTGTTTGTTATCACCCAAGGATGAACCCTATTGAAAATTAGAATAATCGAAAAATAATTAGTATGAGTTATTGCACTTGTTCTTGAAATTGCGTTCAATTTTTAGCACGTAAACACTCTAGAAGGCACAATTCTTGGCGGATTTTGACGAAACTTGGTGTGAGTGTTTGTAATCACCCAAGGGTGAATCCTATCGAAAAATATTTAGTATGAGTTATTGCCCTTATTCTTGAAAACGCGTTCGATTTTTAGCTCGTAAACGCTCTAGAAGGTTCAATTATTGACAGATTTTGACTTGGCGTGAGTGTATGTAATCACCGTAGGATGAACCCTATCGAAAATCAGAAAAAAATTAGTATGAGTTACTAACTGCCCTTTTTCTTAAAAACGCATTCAGGTTTTAGCCTGTAAACACTCTAAATGGCCCAATTCTTGACAGAATTTGATGAAACTTGGTAATATTATTCTGTATCGCCTCAAAAAGTCTGAAGGTTGAATATTTCATACTGGTAATTGTTACTGTACTGGCAAATCAAATATTTCTTATTTATAGACGTTCTGTCGAGGGCTTTCATTGGCTGTATTGAACAGCGTACAATCCAATCAAATCAATCTATACAAATTTCTGTGATACATGAAAGGTGAATATTAAAGTCAAGGTATAAGACCAAGTTCGTAATAGCTTGACACTGTGATGATGAGTCTGGATATGCTAGGTATTTTTCTTCTGTTCTGATTTAGATAAAATAATTACTTGCCTAATTGGTTAGTTTGGACGGTACTGAATGCCTTAAGTTTAGGTTACTCTGAAGGAAGTTTTGGTTTTTCTTTTGCTAATAACAAGGAAAAACATAACCTAGATATTTTATAGCTTCAAACAATAAGAACATATATAAATTGTAGAATTTATTTGTCGATCAAGCTCACAATGAATAAATAGATTGACATTGTCCCCCTGAATTCCCGAACAACACACATCATCCACAACAGTTGGGGATTTAATGAGCGTTCATTAAATCGATGTATTGTACTTTCCTTAATTCAAATCTCAAATAAAGCTATTTCGTTTTTTTGAGATTGTCAAGTCGTTTCTGTAGAGATAATTTTAAATTGTCTGATTTTAAAGAGACAGTTCGCCCTTTTACAGGTTGTTTTTGGTCTTGATTATATGTATATAGTCTTCAGGAGTACAAGATATGACTTAATCGCACAATTCCTACAAAAAATATCCCAAACTAGAAATTTAACTTTCTATTTCTATATATAATATGTCTCAAGAAAAGACGAGTCGTCGAATAATTATGGACATGGATTTGAAGGCTCAGTTAAGATGTGATGATAAGCTTAGCTAAAAACAATCCCGTTTCTGAGACTATGGTACGATTGTTCAAGGGGGTGGTGAATCTGTCCCTTTAAAATATCGGATAGTTCTACTTCTCTTTGTTTTAGAAATTGGTTTAAAAAGTAAATCTTAGATATTTATTTTTTAAAAGCAAAACCAAAGTTGGACAAACTATGGTTTTTTTCTATGAGAGAACAATTAGTGTCTTTCTTCGTGACGCTTTCAATAGACATCAAACGATAACCGCCTCCGTAGACATCAAATAAGGGATGTATTTAACCAAATCATTTTTATATTTCAATTTTTTTAAATTAATTTTTTCTTTGTTTATTTTTTTCTTTTTGACAAATTCTCCTCATTTGCCTGATGTACGGCTTTGCATGTTAATTTACACGGCAGGCTAATTGGAACGATTTGATTCCAGGTTGTGGGAGGCGGTTGTCAACTTGTCAACGATTTTGGTGTAATTATGTTCATGAAACATGCGGAGGAAAGTAAATTAAGTCCAGTATCTTTAAGAACTTTAAAGGTCTCACAAAATCGTCGAATTGCATTATTATTGATGTTAAATGGATTGTTCAGAGGTTTTCTAAACTTTTTATTGGGGACACTAATAACATCAATTTGCACAATTCCAATTATCGGTTTAACCCTTTGTCCTTCGTTCAATAAGTTGCAATAGCTGCACAATAGGATTGAAATAAAATATGAAAGTGGCTAAACATTTATTACATTTTCAAGTAATAATCCAATGCAATAAAAACAAGTAATTGAACAATGAATGAAAATTACATACAATACATATAAAAACAAATATCGAAACATTTTTACAACATAAAATCCCAAATAAAGCATATTAATTAAGCGTTAACCCTCAGTAATACTACTGGGCGGGTGGGTATTGACATCCTGAAAGGCACGGATTGTAGGATGGTCGCGTTTTAGAATCAATTGAAATTCCCGAATATCTTGACGGTGTGTGCTCCATTCAAAATTTTCCATTGCTTGATGCTCTCTGTATTATTACCGAATACCATACGTACTTGGAGGCCACTATCGTTAAAGTCGCTATCGATATTGACCTTTGCGATAGTGGAGTTATAAAACGCAGAATAGTGCAAATCAGTTTCCCCTATACACATAAACTTTTTATTAATTAGAAACCTCTTTACAATCCTTTTAAGTTTATGTTAATTTAATTTAAATAAGGCCGCATTGCGTTTAGTGATTGCACAAATCTCGTTACAAAGAGTTGTGGCTTTTTCTTATGAAACTGTGGAAAGCAGAGAAAGGATTTTCATCTTAAAATTGTCAAAAAATGTGCATTTAATTTAAAAAATAATTCAAAATGTGTAGGCAAAACTCTTAATTTGTTTCAA